CTGGTCACTATGATGGAAATAAAAACAGACACACAGGCAAGTATCACAAACAATGTCTCAGTTGAAAACATGCTGTGATGGAGGCATGAGCCTCTTCCCCCAGAGAATCTCCCCTGAGGACCTAGAAATGACAGGAGAGCAGAAGCTAAGTCACTGATCTTTCCCCTTTTTTATGTGGAAAGCACAAACAGTTTCCACATGCAAGGGAATTGGGGCAGGAAAACCAGTGGCCTTCAAGACAGAAGAGCCTTGTAAACTCTCCTCTCTGACTTGGGATCCTCCACTCACAGGACAGCAGACAGCTGAGCAGGAGCTATCTCCAAACCACAAGACATAGGGAAGACTTTTCAAACCCCAGCAGTGTCTGTACTGACTCCTTGTGCCTCTCCAAGTCTCCCCACACCAGTTGGAGCACCAGTGCACAGGAAAGATTAGAGCTTTAGGCTGGGGGAGCAGGAGTTCACTGCCATCCCTTTTAAGTTTCCTAAGGTGATGCTGGCCCCTGGTGGTAGACAGGCTTAGCCATACCTCTACCCAGGGCTGCCTTGCCCAAATGACACATGGCTGTGCCTGGAAAGGAGCAGCCAGGGCTGCAGTTTTGGGGAAGCACATGTGGGCAAACATGCTGACCACCACAAACCACTCCTGCAAGTCACATCCTTCAGGGTTAGCATGACAGAAACTGCTTGGCAGGGGGCACTGCCACCTCAAGGGACAGCTTTCACAAGAAGCAAGTGCTACCAAGTCAGCACCTAAAATCTGCAAGGGAGAGAAGGTGCTAGAAGGCAGGGCAACAACTGGGTACCCTCCTCAATAACACAAGACTAGAAGTACATTCTGTGGCAGAACCTGCCTGGAGATTTCTGTTTCCTCCCCCACCTAGCACAGTACAGACAACAAAAGGAGGCATACCTGTCATCCCTGGAGTTCTCCTCCTGTCCAGCTTGGCCTCTGCCTCCACCTTCACAGTTGGCTCTGGTGACACCCTGAGCAGATCCTGAGATTTCAGCTCTAGCATCTTCCTGTTCACAACCACCATCCTCTTAGAGTTCCCATTGCATCGCTGCGTGCAGCCTCTGTGCAGGCTGCCCAGATAAGCGAGGACAGAGGGTTGAGTCCAGCCCTTCACAGATCACATACTGTTTTCCACCCTGCACCCTTACTGTTCTCAGCCCAGATTCTGCCAGGCCATTCCTCACAGCTGCTGGCACCAAATGGCCACCCGTGCTAGGCACTCACTCACCAAGATGCAACAGGCTCCAGCACGGGGCTACATTACACCACTGCCAAAGTCTCTGTCAGGAACATAAGAGCTGCAGCGTCCCAGGCCACCCAGGCTGCAGGACAGCATGGCCCAAATCACAGGCCACCTTCCTGGCAAGCACCATGGCTGGGAGATCTTGGTGCAGACCAGCAATGCCTGCAAAGGAGTCAGTCAGTCCAAAAAGCCTCAGGGGAGGCTTTGTGCAGCAAGCCTCAGAGAAATAAAGACAGTCCTGGAGAGATTCGCCCATCAGTACCTCCCACCTTGCACAGAGGAGAGAGGAACAAGGCAGGCTGGGCCTCAGACCATGTACAGGGATAAGAGTCAACGGCATCTGACCCTCCCCAGAAAATACAGGTTGCTTGTGAGGCATCTGCAAAACACTTCCCCACTGCAGATGAACAGGTGGTAGTGGTGCTGTAGGGGAACAAGGAACACTTACTTGCCATGCTGCCTTGCTTGGCTGCAGGGGACTCCCACCTACCTGCAGGAAAGAAAATAGGAGAGTCATCAACAGCTTCAATTGCAGCCCAGCAGACACTAAAGCCCAAGCCCTCCACCATCCAGGGTCAGAATGGTGCAGAAAGCAGGGTGCTATCTGTAAAACCCATGAAACTGTCAGCCCAACCTTGCAACCAGTTAATCTTCTAGCCTTTGAGTTCACAGAACAAAGAATGCTTAGAAAGCGACAATTCTGCTGAAAGAAGCAGACTCCAATACACCCAACAAGAGTCTCCCACTCACGGAAACAAGGCACAGCCAACAAGGACATGTAATTGGCAAGTGATCAACAATGCTCTGTTGGAGACAGAGTACACCTGGCACCAGAACCTTCCTCTGCCTGGCATGCTTGCTACCATCAGCTGCCCAGGGCAAGTGCCTGCAGGACCTGTGCTGCCCCAGGAGGCAAACATACAAGTTACTAGGAAGATCAGGATCAGCATACAGGATGACCTGAGAGTTGGAAGCTGGTGGGAAGAGGCTGGTGCTCTTCCCTCCAAGAGGGGATTGATGGATACAGGTAAAGCTATCAACTTGTTTTGCATCCATTGCGCAGTCATGTAAATTCTCACTTCTGTAATGCTTACCCACAGTCTGCAGTAAGGATGGTTGGATTGTTTTCTCCATTACCATCAAGCTGACTATTTAGCAGGAGAGGAAAGGATATGCATTTCCTAAAGGGTGTTTGGCAAAGCTCAGAATAGCAGCAGTACTCCCTGCATACCTAGGATGTCAATTCTCCTGCTAGAAAAGCACCTTTCACACTTCAAAAACAAAACCAAAAAAATCCCGCAACAGTGAAGTTCAGTAAAGAAGTAAACTATTATCTGCTTGCAGGAGGAATTCCACTCATTTATTTTCCATGCTTTGTCTTTTCACTGCACTCAAGATCCCACAGATCAGACCATCCTGGCCAAACTCATCTCTCACCTTCCGTGACACCTTGCTGTGACAAAACCACAACTCCATCAAAAGACTGAGCCAGCTCCCACAGGGATGTATTGTGGATGTAGCAGCAAAGGCAGTTTAGAAACAGCAGGAACTAAAATGAGCTGATCTGAGGTCCAGGACTGCAGATATTCTGAGTAATCCCCAAAGCGCTTCAATTAGCTCTCTGCTGGGGTGAGGTCAGTAGTTGTACAAAGCCATCCGCTGGGTCAGCAGCACAGGAAACACACTTCCCATTTCATCAAAAGGCTGGAATCCAGGCACACAGCAGTGCTGGTGTATTGCTACATCAGGAGGTATCAGATCTCACCAAACACCTTCTCAGTAAAGCTAATGTCCCTCACTGCCAAAATCAAGTTTTGCATGTTTTCTGTACCAAAAGCAACAAGAGACCGGGGATGCCTGGAGCTGCTTTCCATCAGTAAATAATTGTTTCTTTTAAACAGATTGAGAAATTCTGCAACATCTAGCCTGGGATTTAAACAGGACAGTGTGAAAGCAACAGAACAATTACATGTGACAGGTTTGTCATCTCACGCTCCCCAGGCTGGGTATTCATCCACATTTCTCTTCGCAAGGAATAGAACACTTGATCTTGCTCCTCCAAACCACACTCCTAAGTCTGATGGGAGCACACAGGCCGCAGGAGCCGCATATTCCCTTATAGATTCTGTCAGCTGTGAGCAGATACTGACCTGATTTTGTTGCTGTCAATTTTAATGAAGAAACTCAAATCCTCTGTATCAAAGAGCAGGCTGCAAAGAAAACTTGCCCCAGCATCCACACAGCACACAAACTTTGTACCACTCATTATTTCAGGCAATGAGCATCACACCTTTTTCATCTGATACATCTGATGAGAATTCAAGTCACGGAAATAAACATATTCAAGACTAGTCTTGCCAGGATCTCAGGCTCCATGAAGCGTGCTTTACATTCGTGGAGCCTGATACCACAGGCATAAAAGTACAGCAATGATCAGTTTCATCATCTTTAACTTTTTTTTCCCCAAACATCCGTGCCAATGCACCACCCAGCGTCAGAAACAAGAGACGGTTTATTCCAGCACAACAATAAGCCTGCTCTACACAAGCCTGCAAGCACAAGAGATGCCTGCCCGGGTGCACGCAACAAGGGTGAGCAACACGGGTATTTATTTTTAATTTCCACACGCAGATCCCTGACCGCCCCCAGGTGAGATGAGCGGGAGGGCCGGCAGCCGGCGAGCAGCACTGCCTGAGCACCCACCCACCGTGTGAGAGAAGCTGGAGGCTGACCCGGCAGACACCCACCCAGCCCCATCCACCCCACGCTTCTCAGCTCTCTTCTATAAATACCCCACCGACGGGAGGTTGCTACAGCAACGGCGAGGGATGCGGCCGTGAGCGCGAGGGTGCTGCAGTCGCACATTTGTGTCTCCCCCGGGCTCCCCACACCCCCCTCCCTGACGCCAAAGGGAGGAAATCGTGCTGGCAAAGCCTGGCGCGCGATCCCAGCCCGCAGAGTCCGAGCAGCGGGCAGCAGCACCGCGCCAGGTAAGGGCACAGGTGTGACGAGGGACCGACCAGCGCCAGAGCCGTGCTCCAGCCAGCGGGGATTCCTCCTGCTCCCCAGCGATGCTCCGTGCCAGGATCCACCACGCGGTGCCAGGCTGCGCCCGCTCCGCACGCCAGACCCCGCGGGGCCCGAAGCTTCACCTCACGGCAGTCCTCAATGCGTTCTGCTGCCCGGCCCCCTCCCCCCACGCCCAGACCCCGGCCCCATTTGTTGCCCTCAGCTCCGCGGAACGCACCCCGCCCCAGCGGCGCCACGGTGAAGCCCGACCCCACAGCACCTCCTGCACCCAGCCAGGCCCGCCCGCCCTGCCCGCAGCCCACCACCAGCCCACACACCGACCTCCGGCCCTGGCATCCCCCTCCCCACGCAGAGCCCCAGCCCGAAGCCTCCCCATACCCCATATCCCCAGTACCCCACATCACCCCAGTACCCCCTGCCGCCCCACAGCCCGCCCCACGCCGCCCCGCCCGTACCTCATGGCGGCCTCGCACCCCGCCGCAGCCGCTCCCTCCCGCCGACGGCCGGGAAGAGGAAAGCTCCGCCTCCCCCCACCCCTCAGCCAATCACATCCCCCCTCAGCCAGCACGCCCCGCCTCCTCCTCCCGCCTCTACAATAAGAAGCGCGGAGCGGAAGAGTGGGCGGCCCTACGAGTTCTTTCCCCAATCAAACGCGGTCTCTGTGAGCGTGCAGCCAATGAGAGAGCGCGATGCGGCCGCGTAGGCTGCTGGGAGTAGTAGTCCCACGCCCGCTGCGGCGCAGCGCTTCGTGCTGCGGGCGGCGCTGCAGGGCCGCGATCGGAGATCGGTCACGGCCTGCGGGCTGCCCCGCCCCGTCCCTCACACCGCGGAGGCCGTCGGAGTTTCACACGCTTTATTTCTCCACAAACCGTCTGCCAGCCCCGCCGGGCCCTGCGCCCGCTCCACGGGGCTGGGCTCTGCACCGCGCTCAGCGTCACGGCTGCTCGAGCAGCCGGACCCGGCTCACGCCGTCCTGCGGCACGAGGGCCCCGCACCGCCCTGCGCCTCGGTCATCCTCCGTCCCTGTGCCACGTGTGCTGCACTCAGGCCGGCCGCGGGGAGCCTGCCCCTACCGCAGGCATTGCACCTCCGGCCTCGCCTTCGTTCCCCTCATCCCCGTCCTCATCGTCATCTTCGGCCTCGTCCCCCTCGCTGTCTGAGTCATCGTAGAGGCAGAGCGTGGCCTGCACCGGGAAGTTCTCGAGCAGTTTCTCCCCCACGCTGTACAGATAGTCGAAGCATCTGGATTTGGGCCACAGGAGCCTGTTGGGGAGAATCACCGTGAGAACCTGCCCGTCCCAGCCCTGGGCATGGCGCTGGCACAGGGACGTACCTGACCGGGTGGCGGAACAGTGTTAGTGCTTTGTCACTGCTGTGGTCTCCTGCAGCATCGAGGGGCTGAACCTGTGGGAACAGAGCCGGGCTGGGACCTGCCCCATTTCCCTCTGCCCCTGCTCCTGCTATGGTGGCAGAGACACAGACCTCTCCTTCCTAACATCAGAGGTTTACACACCACCTCACAGCCCCTGAGCAGTGTGTCTATGGGGCCAGACTGCATCCTGATTTTCCCCGCTTCTCTGCTGAATGGATTCAGTTCCCTGCACTCCCGCAAAGGAAGCTGGCATCTAAACCCCACACAAGGGCTTTTTGCCAGAGTAATCTCCCCCGTTGTGCCCACGCGTCCTGCTAACCCCCTGAGGAATGCCCGCCAGGCCGGGAACAGGCATCCCTTTCAGACCCCACAGAGCAGCTGTGTTTGCTGCAGCTGGCACTGCCCCAGCAGGCTGTAGGCTTGGGGAGTGGAGAGGAGATGCCGGGGAATGTGGGTACCCAAAGCACCCCCTGCTCATCCCTTCTTGCAGCCGTCCTCCTGTGGGCTTTGGGCAGGATGTCAGGGCGCAGGCACTTTTGGGGACAGTGCCCTTTGCTCAGCCCTCGCAAGGGATAAAGGAATCTGGGGCCAGAGGCTGGTGACCCCAACTGGTGACTGCCAATGGAAAAAAAAAGTGGGCCACAGCAAGAAGAATATGACTCACAGTGTCCATCTGTTCCCTCTGCCATCTGGTTGTGTATTCCTCCTGGGGCAGCCATGGTCTCCAGAGTGGCTTGGGTCTTGGGGAGACAGAAAGATGAGCACAGTGGCCACCCTGCATTTCCCCCCCCTGCCTTGCTCACCCACACCCCAGCCACACACCCCAGTTTTGCCAGTACATCCAAAACCCCTGCCCTGGTGCCAGGCATATCCACCACCCCACTTGTGGTCTCTTCCCTGCAGGAGCTCCCAGATTTTCTTCCTAGGCTCTGCACTTAAAGTGCTGGGATCGTGGGAGTCCGCACCTAAACCAGGAGCACACAGCCTTCACCCAAACTCACCTGGAGCCTTCCCACCTAACCATTGCTGCCCACTCCAGCCCCCCCAGCCATGCTGCACCCAAAGTACCTTCCCCTCTGCTGCAGCCCCGGGGCTGGGCAAGCACCAGCTGTGTGCAACGGGAGCTGGTGGAGAGACAGGCAACATGCAGCAGCTTCCATGGTGGCAATGGTGTCCCCTCCAAGGCTGCAGGCCCTTTGTGAGGATAGGTTTATATATAGCTCTGCCCTCACCAGTGACTCGCAAATTCTTTGTGGCAGGAGAGTGTTGGACTGGGGGCTCAGGGGTAGCAGTCCCCAGGGTGTGAAATTTGTCCCAGTTGTGTAAACAGAGGACTGGGGGGGACTGGAAGCAGGGTGTTGTGGAAAAGCAAAACACAGAAGGGAAAAGTTAGACACCATTTGTGAGAAAGTCCCCAGGAGGGCTCGGGGGGGTGTGGGGGGAAAGAGGGTAGGGCAAAGACAATTAACAAGGATGATTAAGTGTTCTTAGTAGCCATTTGCATAAGGGAAAGGGGATTTGGGGAAATGATCAGGAGTGCTGGGCATCATGATGGGCAGGGGATGAGGATGGCATGATGGTAACAGTGTGATGGGCTGCAGCAGAAGCAAGCACAGACCAACCAGAAGGTGAGAGAAAGGATGCTCAAGAGAGGACAGGGGTGAAGATAGGTGCCAGGGGATTCCAGCGGTCCTGCTCAGGCACACATGTCCCCGCTCAGATCCTCCAGGGAGATCCCAGGTTTTATTCCTACAGCAGAGAGGTGCTGTATGTAATGTATAGTGTATAATGGCGGTCATATTTCCACGGCTGGTTGCAGGACCAGCCCCTAGGTGAGCGGGACACAGACGCAAGGCAGCAAGGCAGCTTCTCCCCAAGCTTTAGCTTTGCAGGGCTGGGCACAGCTGCAGCACGAAGCTGGCAACCAAAAGCAGTGGCAAACTCTGCTGAGTTGACACAACCCACCCAAGCTGGCTGTCCCCTCCTGGCAGAACGGTTCAGTATGATCTGCTGTATGATCAGTATGTCCTGCCCAGAGCAGGACAGTTGGATTAGATGGTCTTTGAAGGTCTTTTCCAGCGCAAATAATTCTACGATTCTATAATTTGCTGCTGCAGTGTTTGCCAGTGATATCCCTAGGCTTTTTGGGATGCAGACAGTATCAGGAGGTGCAGGAAAGATTCTCAGTAGGAGAGTGAAAGGGTCATACCTTTATGCATCCTACCCCTCACGCTGCTCCTGGGCACTTGATGCGAGGTGCCACTTGCAGGCAGGTCACTCCCCGATCCTGGGAGAGTTTCAGTTTGAGACAAGGAAAGAAAATAGCAAATGGTCCCTGCTGTAGCTCTGCCAGCAGTGTCCAAACATTGGCCAGGATCGGCTTGGCTCTGAGCACAATTTGTCACCAGGGGCCCTTCCTGCCCCTGTCCATCTGCAGCAGCCGGGGAGCGGGAGGGGGCACGGCACGAGCAACAGCCCTCATTACCGTCCCCATTTGCTCCTCATTTGGGCCAGGAGTCTTACAATAACAAACCCCGCAGAGGACAAGCAAGGCTGGGGAGTTCAACCTGCCGGTGTTTTGCTGCCCTGGGATTCCAGCAGACAGCCTTGCATGGACAGGATTCAGCACACAAGATGGAAATGCTGTGGTTGTCCATCTCTTGGGGTACTGGTGTGCTGTGGGACACCTCAGCAGCTTGCACACTGCATTGCCCTATGCCCAGCTTGATCTCCAGCCACTCTCTTTTAGCACTGGCCAAGACAGGTCTCAGGGGCTGTTGAACCCCGCAGGAGAAAAGTCCCCACTGTTCCCCTGCTAGTCGGGCATCACCATTGAGAGCAAAGGGCCCCTGAAGCCAGCGCAGATGGAGGGCAAGGGAGGAATTTGGCTTCATCTCTACAGCCGGTTTCCATCCTTGGCTCTGCTCCCTTCACTCCACCCCATCTCTTCTCACCGCCTTTCCTCCACACACCACTGCCCCCGCCCTAGCCTGGTATCCCAAGTCACATAGGCAACCACCTACCCTGCTAATTAATAGAAAACAAGCAAAACAAGGCATCTCAGCTCCTCAATCCTTCCTGACACCGAAAGGGTTTAATTCTGATCTGCAATAAGCCTCCAGGCTGAGATTTGTGGATGGATTTTGCAAAGCCTAGGTGAACTATTCGCAGTCCCTGATCCCCGGCCCTGACGAGCCTCTTCCTGTAGGACTGCAGCTGCCCTCGGTCCCGCACCACATCTCCAGCCATCTCTGTAAGTACGCAGTCCCTCGCATGCCCCAGTTTGCCAGTCCCCAAAACCTGAGTGTTAATTCTGTAGCAGCACCCCTAGGATTGAGAGGCTGTATCTTGGTTTGCACATGGGAAAAGAGATGAAAGTCAGGAAATGTTGACAGCAAACATTTGATGTTCCAAGGCTGGGGAAAGGGAATGGAGGCTCCGGGAGGGGTTGCACCCTCAGCCGGCAACTTTCCCAGGGCAGGAGGCCGCTGGCCAGGCAGTATTTGTGTGGTTTGCTGTTTCGCAAGAACCACGGCAGGGGGAATTTTGAAACAAGGTGAAGGGAAAACAAACCGCCCTGTGTCTGCCAGATCCCTGTTGCTCACCCCCAGCTGGGGCAGAAAAAAACCCCATGGCACTAGCACCCACATGGGGAGCACAAGCTGCATGCTGCACCCTGCTGCAGGACAGAATGCTCCCAGGAGCTGGCATGGACTCACCATTAACACACTGTGCCCAGTGCATTGCTGTCCTTCGTGGACCTCCGGGCTCTCGTAGGGATGTAGGTGTCACTGTCTCCTGCCATTCCTCTCTTTCATCATCACATGGGAAGGCTGATAGCTGTGATTCACCCTCAGGAGAACACATCCCTTGGCCCCATTCCTGCTGAGTTCTCTGTGGGGTGGGGGGATAGCAAGAGATGCTTTAGGAACCCCGTTCCTCTGCTGAGAAAACCTCAGGGCCACCACTCTAAAGCACCTTCAACAGTTCCAAACAAACAACACGCAGCCACAGTGTTTTGGCTTCTTTTTTGCCTTGAAACAGGGAAAGATAAAGATTAGCTGAGTTTGCAAAAGCAGCTGGAGGAGTGCACAGCAGCAAAAGAATATTTCCATTAAGCAGGACACAGGGTGAAGGAAGAGGTGGCTGGGGAGGCTTGCACCAGGAGACACCATGCAGTAAGAGATGATCCAGCAGAGACCTGATGGGGACCAGCCAGCTCCCCATCCTGCCCGCAGCACAAGGAAGGGCTTTGGCGGCCTGCCCGGGCTGCGCTGTGCTGCCTCTTGAAGCCTGCCTGGGAAGATAACAGAGGTGAAAGGGTGCTTGGCGATTCTCCGCAGGCTCGAGTCAATCGTTAATCGGGGAGGGATTGCTTTCCACTCTTGCAGGTAACCTCTCCTCCCCCCGGCTCCCCCCACGCGCCCGTGCCCTCACAAAACCAGAACCCACAGGAGCTGGGTGAAGCTTCGGCACAGCGAGAAGAGCCGCTAGCAGGGCCATGGGAAGGTAAACGTGCGGGAGAGGTGACACCCGGCCCAACCATGGTCTCTATGGGACTCCAGCTGGTGGGCTACATCGTGGCCTTCCTGGGCTACATCGGCACGCTGATAACCACGCTGCTGCCCAACTGGAAGATCAGCTCCTACATTGGCTCGAGCATCGTGACAGCCGTGAGCTTCACCAAGGGGCTATGGATGGAGTGTGCTACGTATAGCACAGGCATCACTCAGTGCGACATCTACAGCTCCCTGCTCAACCTGCCTCCTGACATCCAGGCGGCCCAGGCCCTGATGGTGAGCTCCTGTGCCGTCTCCTCCCTTGCTTGCCTGATGGCCGTGGTGGGCATGAGGTGCACCGTCTTCAATCAGGGCTCACCAGCCAAGGACCGAGTGGCAGTGGCGGGTGGTGTGGTCTTCATCCTCGGGGGGCTGCTCTGCTTCATCCCACTTGTGTGGAACATCCACGTGGTGCTGCGAGATTTCCACAACCCCCTGCTCCCTGACAGCACCAAATTTGAGTTGGGGGAGGCTCTATACCTGGGCATCATCTCTTCTCTGCTCTCCCTCATTGGTGGCTTCATCCTCTGTGCCTCCTGCCCTCCCCGTGACCCATCAGGCCCCTACTCGCCCCGGCTGCTGGCAAGCAGGAGTCCCCAGCCCTCCATCAAACAGATGCAGAAGCCCAAGAGTGAGTTCAGCTCCTACAACCTGACGGGATATGTGTAGCAGCAGCAGGGCGTCTGGTCAGCACTTTTCCCAGCTCCCAAAACACCTGGGCTGGCACCGAGGCACACAGTAAGAGGAGAAGACACAGCGGTGTCTCCCACGCTCGTATCTCTTGCTTGGGGACCTTGACATATGACTGCTCAGAAGTCTCATCTGATGGTGAAGGACCCTGAATCCACCTTCTGTTACCACTTTGCTGCCATCAGCCTGCCGGAGCTGCCCCTGCAAGCCAGCTGGAAGCACACCCATAGCCCCTGCACAGCAGTCTTCTCATGGCCAAACTCCAGCCTGCAGCCCACAGCCCAGCAAGGACAGTGAAATTGTGCCACTGGGGCTCACCTGCTTATCTGGGGCTCTGGAAACACTTGGGGGGGGGGGGGATTAGGGCACCCACAGGAGCCCAGAATCTTTGGGGGAGAGCGGGGGGATGGAGTACTGATTGCAAGCTGATATCACAATAAATCTATGTTTCTAGATGGGCTGTGATTGAACTTTTCTGTGGCACTAAGGAGCACCCCAGCACCTCACCAGTGGCAGGGCAGGCTCTGGCAGGGCCATGCTCACCTGCCTGCTTCATCCATCCTGCAAAGGTGGACGCAAAGGGAGCCCTGTCCCTTGCTTTTGGCCATAAAGGTGATGAAATAAAACACAGAGGGGTCTTGCAGGCGGGTCTAAGCCTGTGGGCTCCTGCAGGGGCAGGTTTGGGATGGGAGCACAGGGTCAAACCTGCTCCCTGCAACCCTTTAGCACTGGTGGGATGTGCTGTGCAACTGCAGCCCCAGCAGCTGGCAAGGGTCTGCATGGGGGCTTATGCAGATGCTGAGCAAAGCCACTTGTGCCAAGGAGGGGGAGCAGAGGGAGGGTGCAAGATGCCCATGGAGGAGCGAGCACTTTTTAACCCTCAGGCTATCTCCTTTGTCCCTTGATACCACATCCCACTGCCGGATACAAGATAACCCCTTTGCCCAGGGAAGTTTGGTCCACCAGCCAGCCCCTTGTAAATCGATTTAGATTAGGTCCCGGAGAAGAGGGCACCAGGTTCCCTGCTGAGGCAGGCTCCCCACTGAGACGTCACCGTTAACCTTGCGTCAGTGAAACTGCATTTACCTGTAGGGCTAACGCTACTGATAACAGTGTGAGTCACACTTTCTTCCTTCCTCACCAAGAAAGATGCTCATTATCAGGGGCCATAGTGGATTTCAAGGCAAAGGCCTTGCACCCGCTTTTCCAAAGCCAGATGACAAAGCTGAGTTACTCATTGCTGCTTTGGGAGAGGGCTGAGGTGATGGGGGCTGGTGTGCAGAGCAAGCAGGTGCTGCAGCCCATGAGCACCTGAGTTGCCGTGCGCAGGCACTGCCTTTCATTCAAGGCTTTCACCGCGAATGTTTCGCTCCTTGGCAGCTGATCCAGAGAGGAGGCAAGAAAATATTTGGCAAGAGACTTCCTGCTGGAGGGGAGGAAGAATGCTCTGCCCTCGCTCCTCACTCCTACTCAAGGCTGACAGCATGGCCTGTGTCTGTGGGCAGATGCTGGCTTAATTAAACTCATGTGCGATGGAAACACTCTATTCAGAGTTTTACCACTGCTGGCCTTATTAACACTATTGTTTGAGCAGCAGAAGGGAGGATTTCTGGCTCCTGCACACCTGGGGAGCAGCATGGGCAGGTGCAGCCGAAACCAATACCAGTAATGCCCTCAGTTTGGGCATGTGAGCACTGGGCCATGGCACTGCTTGGGAGTGTGCTGACTCTGGGGAAGGTTTCTGGGGCCCAGCCCCACTGCAGGCCCCAACTGCCCCACAGCCCAAGGGTTTCTCTCTGGCCCATGCAATTGATTGCGGTCCCTTGACCCAGGAAATTTTCCCCTGTCCAATTTTTGTGGGTTCTATCCAAGCTGAATGCACCCAAAGAAACTTGGCTCCAGGGAAAGGCAGGCTGGAAAAGATTTTCCTCGTCTAAGAGCAGGAATGAAAACAGGGAAAATGAAGGGCAGCAGGTGCATGAATGCAGCCGTGGTTATCTCTGCCTCATGCAATAGCCACGTTCCCCATTAGTCAGATAAACCGGGTCCTTGAGGTCAGGCTGGATGCAGCCCAGCCCAGGGCCAGGAAGGACGGCAGTCAGGATGAGGCCATGCCTTTGGGCAGCAGAGCCAGGCAGGCCAGGGTACAGGGTCAGCCCCACAGCTCCTCACCTGCACAGCGGGAGCAAGGAGGGCACGGAGGAGTGAGGTCATGTAAGGGGACATGAACAGGAGGGGTGGGATGGTGCGCAGACAACAGGGTGGCCCTGCAGGATGGAAGGAGCCCCTCTGCAGGGCTGGGTGCTGGTGACTAATCCTCTGTTGTAAGGAGAGAACTTCCCCTCTTACTCCAGAGAGTGCCTCAAATGAAGAAAGGGGGCAATAAAGGATTAACGTGCCCTTATCTTCAGAGGAGATAGAGGTGCCATAAATGCCCAGCACACAAGCCTGCAGCTGCACCTGGGCCATGGGCTGAGACCTGGAGGGACAGTTACAAGAAATGCCTTTCAGTCACACCACTCCCTTCCGACCTCCCTGGATCAGGGGGGTTGAATGTGAGCTAGCAATGTGCCCAAGTAGCCGAAAAGGCCAATGGCATCCTGGTTTGTACCAGAAATAGTGCAGTCAGCAGGAGCAGGAGGTGATCATCTCCTTACTCAGCTCTGTTGAGGCTGCACCTCAGCTGTGTTCAGGATTCAGCCCCTCACTACAAGACAGACACTGAGGCCTTACAGCGAGTCCAGAGAAGGGCAGTGGAACTGTGAAGGATCTGGAGCACAAGTCTTATGTGGAGTGGCTGAAGGAACTGGGATTATTTGGTCTGGAGAAGAGGAGGATCAGGGGAGATCTTACTGCTCTCTACAACTCCCTGAACAGAAAATTGTGACAAGATGAGGGTCAGCCTCTGCTCCCGCATAATTAGTGATAGGATGGGAGGGAATGGCCTCAAGTCACACCAGGGGAGGTTCAGGTTGGAAAAAAATATTCCCCAAAAGAGTGGTGAGGCACTGGAACAGGCTGTCAGAAGAGGAAGGATGAGTGCCCAGCATCAAGCCTGGCTGCTACCTCTGCCCCAGTCAGCATGGAGATTCCTCCATCTTCTCTGGGCATCCCATAGACAAAGAGGCAGCCCTCAGCCCCACTTATGCCTCCAGGCACGTGGAGGTTAGTTTGCTCTCTGTCATCCCACATCTCGTTCCCACTGAAGATCTGAAGCAGCAAATAATTCATGCAGACTCTTTAAGCAGCATTGGACCAGATGATAAGAGGGGCCATCCCTGTGCAACCCAGGGAAGCACTCAGAGAGGAGGGGAGGGAGGGGAAGAAAATTCAGGCCAAGATCCTGATGGGCCAAGGCACTTGGAAGCAGCCTCTGCATTCCTCTGCTTTCCTCCTTCCTCAGCTGTTTGCCATGCCATGCTGCAGCCTCAGCACAGCATGGACACAACTCTTCCTCATGCATCAATGGCACTCATTCCTCATTTCCAAAGGCTTCCTGTCCTCCCCAAGCCATGGGGATCACCCTGTTGGTGTCCAGCCCTTCTGGTTTTAATGGAACACTTCACAGTGCAGGTGAGGGTTATCAAGAAACCAGCTCTTCCTCAGAAAACACCTTAATTTGGAAGAAAAGTTAGTCCACAACCTCAAAGCTTTGCATACTTCTTCTGGAAACAGGCTGGCTAAGGGAGCTATAAAGGATCTTTTGATCTTTAAAGAAAAGCATGCGAGAAATACTGCGGAACGAACTCCATGACACAGCAACACAGAGAGGAAATAGACCTTTGGGTGCACCCAGGGAGATTGCTAGAAAGCACCTTCCCAACCTTCCTGGCTAGGGTTGAACAGCAGTTCAGAAATTTATCAGGCGAGCTATAAAATTTATTTACCTCGGAAAATTACATATTAAATCCGTTAAGATGACACAGAGATTTGATCTTCAAGGCATTTCATTAATGCCACAATTACATTTCTCCATAATTTAAGTCTAATCTATGCTACAGAAGCTCCAAGTTAAGAATCTCAGCAAACTCAGCACATTTACAATCTGCAGTAGCAAGAACAGTATCACCAGAGCCTACATCAACTGAGCCAGCAAAGCAAGCTTTATCAGCAAGAAACATTTGTACAGAAGTGTAAACAGAAGCTATACCAGGGGGAACTTTACAGAATTTTTGGTGAAAGCAGACATCTCTAGACAAAACCTCTCTTGGAGAGCTGGGAGATGCCTAGAGAGTTGAGCAGGGGTTGTACTGCACTCTGGACAGCCCCAGTGCTGAGCTCTGGTTAACTGGCAGTTTGCTGCAAGGAGGGGATCAAGACTTAGAAGTCCTAAACACCTTTACATGAATAAAGTGAGTTGTGATCATGTAAAGCAGTTCACAGAGTCATCCCTAGCAAGCCTGCTGTCTCCACGCTCAGGATACATGGAAAACTGGAGGGCTGCAGTCCACGGGCACCAACATTTTGGCAGCTGTAACCTGGGTTTGTACTTAGAAGATGCTCAGCCTGAGACACAGCTGACCTCTCCTGACTCTCAGCCGTGCACACAGCCCAGGGAGGCTTCAATGGCCCTGGGGCTGCCTCTTCTCTCTGCTCAGGATTTCAAAGGAAGGGTGTGATTTCATGAAGCTTTTCCCACCCCAGGGAACTAATCTTTCCTTGAAGCAGGTGCCTTTTTTCACAGAACTTGTGATAGCCTCTATTTTGAGATGTCCAGCTTGCTAAAAAAAGGCTAAAACCAGGACAAGACCCACGTCACAGAACAGCACAACTGCAAGGAACTTTCTTCTCAAGAAAGCCTCTTTCAAGGGTCCTCAGGTCATCAGAACAAAGTCCCACAACACCAGCTACACCTGGCTGACACTCCCAAGATTGCTCCAACAGATGTATTTTCATTACCCAATTTTTTAGTCATTTCCTTTTAGGGGGGAAATAAGCCATAGAGATACCCAAGGAGTGTGTCGGCACTACAGAACTAAGGCTCCACAACCTTGATGCTCCCATACCCTTTGAGCTATTCCAATATGGTTTTACTGGAAACAGCATTACCCTTCACCTTTGGATTTTCCACTGGCTGCAGCCAGACATCAAATCTGACATAGCAGGGGGAAAACAGAGCAATTAATCTCAGATTAGCCCTATTTTCCCTACCTTCAAAGACTTCCTCATTGGCCATCTAACATTTTTAACTCGCCTTATTGTAATGGTATTGCCAGACTGCAAAGCTGCTTTCTCCATCTGCTAGCAGAGGCAGCAGGACTGTATCCCACCCTGGAGGGGAAGCCACTGATAAGACACAGCAGGTGGCAGAAGCAGTTAACTCCTTGCTTTCAAGGTGAGGAGCACAGACACTGTGGGACCTGGTAGTTCCTCAACACAGGATGCTTGCACACAAGGGTCTTGCTGTGAGTTACAGCTTGCTCCCAAAAACTAAACTAGCCCCTCTCCCAGTTGTGCTGCAGGGACTAGCATCCCATATGCTCCACGCACTGATTCTGGCTTGTAAGTCTCCACTGGTGAAAATAGGTTAGTGTTACTGCACAGATCACCAGCTTAGAGTCATAGAATCACAAAATCATTTGCGTTGGAAGGGCCTCTTATAGGTC